GCTCTCTCTCTCGCTCTCTCTCTCGCTCTCTCTCGCTCTCTCTCTCGCTCTCTCTCGCTCTCTTTCTCTTTCTCTCTCTCTCTCTCTCCTTGGCCCTGCGCGCAGCGTCACAAGCAACTAACACACTGCATTACAAGTGTTTTCATTCGAGCTTTTCCTAAGTTTCTCTCTGCCTCCACACTATCTGCATGCTCTCTTCTTTCTACTTTTTTTCTCTCACTCTCTTCAGATAACGGTTTTAATATTTTCTCTCTTCTGTTACCTTTTCTATAATTCCTTTGCAATAATAATTCGTTTTCATTTATTTTTATGTTTTCTACTTGCCTTTATTCACACCTATCTCAGCTTTCATTTTCTTTCCACGTTGCGTCGTTAACATCTTAACCCAATGCAGTGCGGGTCAACACGATGTCCTTGTATACGTTTTTGGTGGTTCTTATCCTTCTTGCCGTTTTAATAAATAACGTGTAAGGATAACCCAAAATTAATGATTTCTAATAATTTTAGAAACTTTTGAAAACAGCAACAAACTTCACAAAATCGCTCAACAAATATCATCGTTATTTTAGGAGCATGTGCATGTGAAATTTCTTTCTCGGTTTAAAACTATTAAATCAAAACGAAAAAATCTCATTTAAAGGACTTTACTTGATTCCAGTCTCAGGCTTTGATAGCTTAGAAGCGAATCTTCATAAATTTGTAACAGAATAGCAGTGGAAATGATGCAATAAGTTTGTGATTTAGATGATAATATTTTGTTGCATTTCACCACCAGTTCTCAATTTCTGGTGTATTATTCCCGCGATGTTGGTCAATTTAGTTAAACTCTGCTGGTTTTATTTAAAGTTTTGAAACTCACTAATCCAAAATCAAGGCTATAACACTAACGACGTTTGCCCACATGTCACTTTACCAGATATTACATATGCATCCCGTTTTACTTTATGCATCGTTATCCGTCAGCAAGGTAAGAAACAATGGGAGATTTCCAAGTCTAAAAATGCGAAGCCTAGATATAATGTTAGAAAGGACGCAGCATGCAGCAGTATACGCAGAGAGAGCCTTCTTCAACTTTGCCTGTTATATCTATCGAAACATTTCTGAATTACAAAATCGTTAAAAAAGTTGATAATCAATCAAACATGCTTCGGTGTGGGAAAGAGTTTAGGAATATTTGGCTCGTCATATAGTAACGAACCCGTCTGTAAAAGTTTGCGAATGTGAAACGACTCATCGTGAATTATATTATTAGTCCTGTCGTGACTAATGTCATTCAACAATACAATTATTCGGATTATAATTTAGATCTCTAGGATAATATAATATATAGTCTACATAACATCGCCGATATATGGTAACTGGGTTCTTAAATACGAGCACACCGCGTCCCACTTGCCGGGAAACAGGCCTAGAGTATGCAACCGGCGCCACACGCCGAAATATTATGGAGCGGCAGGATGACAACTGGTGGTTGAAAAGTGACCGTGATGGCGCGGATGGAATTGTCTTTCAACGTTTACAGAAGCGCCCGTCAGTACAATATTGCATAGGAGAACTTGTAGCATCATTCAACCGTTTTCATATTTCCCTCGTAACTCAGATCCTTTTGATCCAGGTAAGTAATGCAGTGTATATTGAGCTCCGAATCGAAGGCAATAACAAACTATAACGGATCAGTAAAAAATTAAACATATTAATATAACATTAAAATGCAAAAATATATATTTGTGCTTTCAATAAAATCAACTTTGTTTTAATCAGAACATTGATGTAAAATATGAGAAAAGACAACCGATAATATCACATGTAAAAATCCTTACACTAAAAGAAGGTGCGTTTATAAAAAATCACATGAATAGTGGAGAATCACCGCATGCGAAGCAGGTCTAAGCTCGCGTTTCAAGAAACAGCAAGCAATCTAAATCTAACAGCAGACCAACTAAAAAATATTACCGAACTGTACTAACCGAACTAATGAATAATTTTAAGCATATTAAGTACACTATTCCCGAATCATAGGCCCTATTTTGGTTTTCCAAATTGTGGGTTCTGTTATCATTAGCACTCAGTCCGAAAATCGAGCTTTGCTCAATTAAAATCTGCCAAAAACGTAAAGGTCAAAATTATGAAAAATTAAACTAATTTCAGTCCCCAGGGGGAGGGGGTACAGCCGTTATTTTCCAAGCATTCTTAACGACTCTGGGGGGACTAGTTAGCTTCATGGCATTTGAGTGCGGGCTCGATCCCGACTGGCGTGCGTCGATTTTCGGAGGGTGGGAAATAGAGTTCCCGTACTTGGGGCTCGTAAACGAACCCTATCAAAAGTGCCCAGCAAAATGAATTCCTCCTACATTTCTCTTCCTAATAATATTTTGTATTCCCTTGGCCGGAGAATGCCTCAAGTAATGGATAAATATTATTGAGCCCGTTGTTGTGGCGCTCCTTGGTCGCAAAAGTGGAAGTCAAAATACGCTGGTAACGCTGGAAGCTTGTAGGGTGCCAACGGAAAATTTCCAACAATTTCAGCTATTGTAGGGATGGACCAATCAATTAATTTTCAAGTATCTGGAGGAGGGGTTACAAACAAACATGTTTTAAATATTGAATTACTTACAAATTAAAATCAGGAGAAACAGATTTAGGAATT